TATTCGTAAAAGGCAATTAAATCAAAAAGGTATTTTAAGATCACCTACTTTTGGTACTATTATCTTGTGATAAATTGTACATATTCATGCCTGGGTTCCACGAATCAGACATGTTAATTTATATATTCAAGCAACTCTTATTCCAATATTAACTCACGTCAATTTAATAACCCTTTCTCAAAAATGCGAAATGAGGAATGCGGTTTTCTTATGTTCTTATTTACAATGTGTTGTTATTTGTGTCCTCCTTAGGTTTTTGTTTTTGTCCTCTAGTATGTTTTTTTTTTGACGCCTATTGTGTTTGTTGTTGGTTGATTGCTATTTCTTTAATTCCTATTTGAGATGTGTTTGAAAATTTTACTAATAAATTCGTAAGGTTCAAGACACTCCTTTACAAATTACCACTGAGTGATGTAGTCGATGAAAATTCATCGTCGAAGTAGTCGATGAACAGATGCAACAATTGTAAGGCCCACTTTACACTATCTGTCATGGTCATTCGTCATGAGAGTTTTTTTCTCTCTCTCTCATTGGTAAAACAAAAAGTACGAAAAGGTACCTTAAATTTAACTTCAAATAATTATAAATGATAATTATAAATGTGATATTGCATATGACGAATAATAGACTATAATTTTTTTTAACAAATTTAGTTATTTAGTTTAATGGCAGTCATAACCAGTGTTGCCAAAACTTCGTTGGGGAAAAATGCTAGATTTTGTTGAAAAAAATGCTAGAAAGTGCTAAAAATTTTAAAAAAGTGCCAGAAAAAAGTGCTAAAAATTTCTAGAACAAAATTGTTAATATTTAATAATGAAATATTAATCAGAAACCCCATTTATTCTTAACGGTTATTCGTTGTCGATTTAACCATGTTCGTCCGATTGAGGTCGCAATATTTAAGTCAGAGCTTTGGAATTTTGCACATACGTTGGCACTACTGCTATGAGATTTGATATTGGAAATGGAATATATCGGTCGTTTTTGGGTACACCATACCCCAATATTTGTTTTTTTAAGCTTTTAGGCACATTTTTATACCCTTCACCACACTGTGGTACAGGGTATTATGCCTTTGTGCATATGTTTGTAACAGACAGAAATAATCGAGATAGACCTATGGTTCCTTTTGAGAATATGCATAGAATCGCTTTCTGAGTCGATTTAAGCATGTCCGTCCGTCCGTCTGCCCGTCTACCCATGTTAAATTGTAAACAAAGATTTTAGGTAAATAGCCCACTAAAGTTCCTATGTATCTTTTGAATTGCACGAAAGTTGGCACAGCGTAATTAATAAAGTCTGGAATGATGTGTGAAAATCGGTCGGCTCCCATATATAGCTTCGTCCCATTTAAGGTAAATTGTGTACCATCTATCTTTCGATTTGCACGAAATTGGCATAGCGTACTGAATTAAGTCTAGAATGATGTGTGCTAAGTTTCGTGAAAATCGGTTCAGATTTAGATATATCTCCCATATATATATATATTCATCCAATTTAAGGTCATTGGTGCGTCAAGGACCCAGCCCGACTTTACAACTTTCCTTACTGGTTCAACCTAAATTGCTGTATATTTGTATATTGTGTTCTACCTGGATATATAGTCTTTTTACTAGAACTTATCAGTATTGGTCCACTCTTAAGGGTAGCTCTCATCAATTGCTTAATTTGATTGTTTAAATTTTGTTTTTTTTTTCTATTTTTTGTTTTAATGGGGTTTGAAGTCTTCCTACTAAAATATAAATGCTAATAATGTCCAAATTTGGTTAAGGTAAATAGCTGTAATTTTACATTGCGTACAAATATGAATACAATTATCAATTTTCGTCCCATTTGCGTACTTTTAAGGGCTTATAATCTCATTCCCAGCAGCGACTTTAATATAAAAAAAATATGTTTGTCGGAATTTTTCTATTTGGTATTTACAAAGGGGTACGCTCGCCTTGGCATTCGGGATTCCCGCTGAATAAAAACCTTAAAAAAAAATTCCTAACAAATTAAAAAATGCTAAAAAAGTGCTAGGTGCTAGATCAATTTTTTTGGTGCTAAACGAGTTCAAAAAGTGCTAAATCTAGCACTAAAAGTGCTAAATTGGCAACACTGGTCATAACAATTAAGTAAAAATTTGATTTTTTTATTAGTTACGCCTTTTTGCATTTATCAAACAAACCCACTTGTAGTTTCGTCTTTTTGTTTTTTGTTAATAGAAGCTCCTTTTTTGGCCGCAGACGTGTAAAACTTTGTCAACACATGTAGTTTATTGACATTCACAATATTCATTCAAAAAGTCAATTTTCAAGTTTTTGTTAGTTACTCCTTTTTGCATTTTAGCTGACGAAATACAAAATGTAGTGAATTCTAAAGATAAACCTTCTTAACATATTATTATAAACTCGCCTTGATTGTGGTAGAGGAAAAAAATACTGACATTTATTTCATCATAATAGGGGGCTTGAAGTCCGCACATACCTTCAGAAAAGCCCGTAACAATTCATTTAATTCAAACGTACCTTCAGGTAATGCCTGTAACTATAGCTCGTAATTAAGAATAATAATTGCAAAAATGACACATTTATCGTTATTAATGTCCCCAATCCATCCATAATGATTGGTATACTTGATATTAACAAGGATGTGCCTGTTGGAACCTTGGAATCAAATTGGTAAATGATTGAGAATTTGGTCACATTTCAACAAATATAAATTTGTTTTTTGGCCAGAACGATGCTGATTGATTAGAAGAGTACAGCCAAATATTCTCATGCAAGAATGTTCCAAATAATTGAAGAAATTCAGAGCAGTATCGCCATAGTCCAAAAATTTAAGATTATTTTTAAGGCAGAAGCGGATTTTTCAAAGAGCGAGAAATGAGCCGCAGCAAATCATTGTCACCAAAATACAGATTTTTATTTCGCTTGTTTTTAAATTATGTTTACATTTTGTCAAATTCGGCAATTTAGCGGCATTCGTATAGATTTGAACCATAATTACCCGACTCAATTACGCGAATTTACTTTTTTCACTTGGTCCCAAATTTGTTTGAAAGTCGATTATTCTGAAAAATGTTTTTTTTTTTAAATTTGTCATATTTTTCTATTTGTTTTTGTATTTATACATAATGACGTTCATACATATATTTGTCCGCAGCGTAATTTAGCATCAAATTTCACGTACTTCCATCATTTTCTATGTCCACTAGCAACACCTATTCGAATTACAGCATTATTATGCTCAAATACCGTTTCCGTGCAACGAAATCAATGGAACCAAACTTATAGGTCTATTTCATATCGAAAGAAATTGAAAAATGTTTGAGGTTTCAAAAAACAGCAAAGCCGGCAGTAATTTGAAATTGCCTCATTGCCAAGTTAATGTTTTTGAAGGCGATGTTTTTTCCTGTAATTAATTTTTTTTTGTTAATTTCGTGAATATATTAATATAAAAACTGCAAATTAAAGAGTTCAAGGGATGAATATATAGAGAATATTATCTGTAGGAATGTAAATGGTCAATTTATTCAAGAAGTGCTGCGATTGACCTATTATTTTTCAAGATATTAATGTGTATATGATCCTTTTTTGGATTATTAATTTCCCACATATTTGTAGTTTGTATGGACACCATTGTTGTGCGAAAAATCTATTTTTGTGGCAGCCCTTACAGGAACCGTAACACGCTTTGGCGGTATGGCTATTAATTTGTTTTTCGATTGTTAGAAATTTCATCACCAGGAATCCCAAAATATTAAGAGTCCCATTGTTGATCTGAGAGCTTTTCACAATGATATCAATGATGAGGGAAAACTACTTTTGAAAAACGTCAACAATGTAGAGGATATTGTTATGGGTCCAAGATAATATTGTGAAAAAAGGATAGGTTCAATTTGATCTAGAGCCAGTTAGTTTGCCCAAGATGGAAAAAGATATAAAGTCTTAAAACTTCCACGAAAAGGCAACAAAGAAAATTAATAGCCATACCGCGAAAGCCAAACGTTCCATGTTACAGTGCATGTAAGGCACCAGTGGTGTCCTCAGGAACGACAAATGTGTGAGAAATTAAAGGGAGGGATTATTTAGATTTCCATTAATATCTTAAAAACCAATAAGCAATTCGACCAGATCAAATTGGCCGGTAAGATACTAACAAATAATTTAGGCTATAAATACATCCCTTGGACTCCTTAATTTGCAGATTTTAAATTAATATATTTACATTTTGTCAAATTAAAAAAAAAAAAACAAAACCAAAAAATATTTAAATTACAAAAAACGATGCCTTGTAAAAAACATAAACCAGACAATGTGGTACGATTTTCAAATTATTGCCGGATTTGTTGTTTATTTAAATCTCAAACATTTTTCAATTTCTTTCGATATGAAATAGACCTATATCTTTAGCTCCATTGATTTCGTTGCAAGGAAGCGGTATTTGAGCTTAATAATGCTATAATTCGAAGAGGCGGAACTAGTGAACATGGGAAATAATGAAAGCATATGGAATTACGCTGCTGTCAAAAATTTGGCATTAAAAATTGATAGAAAAAGACAAATTTAACAAATATCTAATTAGAAAAATTGGAATATGGCTGATAATTTTAATTTAGGACTATAAACCATTCAAACAAATTGATGTCACCCTAATTACCAAGGACCCAAGAATCTATCAAATAAAATGTTTCCAATTTTTATGAAACAAGAATTGCAATTCAAAAATGTCTTCGAAATGGGGGGAAATTAACGGATTGTGAATTAATAACATTAAATAGAAGCTCTTCCCATTAACTAAAAGCTCTTTCCATTATTTGGAACATTATGTGTGGAAATCGTGTGAAATTTGTAATATTCAATATAGGTGTACTATTTTCTTTTTCCTGTCAATCGAGACACAAGTGTAAATAAAGTAAAAAACAAACAAATTGAGCTAGAAATAGTTCCAGTGACTCATAAAGCGGAATCATTGATTTGAACCATTTTGCAACAGGAATATATTCCGGAAAACAATACCCATTTTAAAGCGGAAATGGATAACAATTATCCCAAAAGTCTGGTGGATCATTACCTAAAGGTATCCGCAAAGCTAAAGAAAATTGAAAAGGCCATGTTCAAGTAAGCTTCTTCATTGAATTATTAAATTGAATTCTCCTTTGACTCTGCTTTTAGACGTTTTGGTCCCAATGTTTCAGAAGTAATGGATGATTATGCTCGCCTGGCCATAAAGTTCGAGGAAGCTGGTATTTACCAATATGCGGCTATGTGTCAGTTGGGTGTGGCCAAATGTGAAAATTATCTACAAAATTCCATGGCAGAATGTCAAGCTCTACTAAAAGCTGCCCGACTTTTTCTTAGGGCCCATGAAGAAATGGAATCACTGCTATTGAGATCAAATCGTCAGGAATATCGAGAGACTGCATTGCATTGTTTTACACAGGCTATTGATAAGTCACCGGATGACAGTGTCATTAAGGCTGCAATTATAAGAGAAATGTCTCCGCTACAGCCCCATTATGAGGGAACAAGTTCATTTAATTCACCGGCCCATCGCATCTATGAACTGGAATTGGCCACGGAACAAAGTGTTATGAATCGTGATTTCCTAACAGCTCTACAGCAATTGGATGATATTGTCGATAATATTTACGAGCGTAAAAAGCAAAATCTTTACCAAGAAGTATTGGCCAAATCTGAGGTATATCGTATATTGCTATTGGTAGCATTAACCTTACCACCGGCTCGACAGACACCCGCTCACATTAAACTAATTGAATTCTATACACAATTGGCAGAATTCCAACAGGAAGAAGATATTTGCCCGAGTCCATCACAGTCGCCCTGCAAGTCGGTACCACAATTGTATGCCTCATGGCGGCCGGGTTTGTTTTTGACGCAATATCAGAAATATGCCTTAGCGGAAATAGTATTGGCATGGCATTTGTCTAAACCGCGTGAACTTCGAGTAGCCTTACAAGAGTTCCGTCATAGCTTTAGTTCCCTGAATGATACACAGCGGTATCTTATTAATTGTATAATCGAAAAAGTCGATAAAAAATGTTAAAGTATTTGTTGTTTGTAAGATAATTTGAATAATCTATTAGAATATTTTGTATGTATTTAAAAAACAGCATTCCCAATAAACCTCTTATTGAATTGTTATTTGATTTAGACGATGTACAAGTTTTTTTAAATATGACGGATGGGACTACAAGTTTTGGAATACTTTAATAAGGCATATAAAACTATGTTGGAATTGAGTGAATGACTTCGAAATTGAAACGGATAATTAATTTGAATTGAAGATGTATAGGTCAACGGTTTTATGATAAAATTTATTTTATATAATATAGACCCTTTTTGGGTATGGTACCAGGGGAAAGGGCTGACGTGTTCCAACTTCGGACTTGATCTACGATTGGTAAAAATAATAGTTGTGCAATGTTTGGTTCAAATCGGGCATTCCATTCGCATGATATTGGATTTATATATATTGAAAATTTTGCCCTTTGTGGGGGAGGTACCAGACGAAGTGGACGAATGATTCCCATCTTAGGACTTAATCCAGGCTTAGTAAAGATAATAGATTGTTAAAAGTTTGTTTCAAATCATTTAGTCCGTTCGCATAATATTATAAAATATTTCGCACAGAAGTAGTGGACCGTTATTCCCCATCTTCGTACTTGAAGAAAGTTTGGAAGAAAAATTACGATGTGCAAAGTTTGGATGAATTCGGATACTCAATTGGAGAGTTATGGTGCGCAATAGCCGGCCAGATAGACGGATGAACATTTGAAAATCGACCCCAAATTCTCTGAAAAGGATTTGGTACAAAGAAATACGGGGTCTAAAACCAATATTTCGATGAGACACATTTTTACCGTATCAAAGTGTATATACCCTCATTAACCATAAGGCTAAGGGTATAAAAGCAAACTATATTTCTAGGTTTTTACCAATAATCCATTCTAGACGGCCAGATAGACGGATGAACATTTGAAAATCGACCCCAAATTCTCTGAAAAGGATTTGGTACAAAGAAATACGGGGTCTAAAACCAATATTTCGATGAGGCACATTTTTACCGTATCAAAGTGTATATACCCTCATTAACCATAAGGCTAAGGGTGTAAAATCAAACTATATTTCTTGGTTTTTACCAATAATCCATTCTAAGCAAACTCAAGTTTATTTGAACTTTTAATTCGTTCTGTTTATTTATTATGTGATTTATGTACATTTTAATTAAGATAATTTTATAACTTAATATTTTTCAATATTCCTTATAAAATGTAATTGGGATTGGATATAAAAAATATTCAAAAATCAATTCAATGTTAAAAAAAGAGTGGACAGCTCTACATAAAATTATTTCCTTAATGCTGATCTAAATGGCCAAATTTCTTACGCAATTTTTCACGTCTCTCTTTTTTGACACTACGCCATGGTTTGGCTGATGGATCGGTTTCGACTAGACTACCATCATTGGCTAACCTGATGTGAGGGAAGTTGGTACGGCCTTTAACATGGGCAGCGGAATTCTGGCCAGTGAAAAATTTGCTATCCAATTCGGTTGAAGAGGTGTTTGTTTTGACCTGAAAGATAACATTTTTAGTAAAGCGTTTAATGGTATGTTAATAGAATAACTTACCCTCATTGCCCTTTGCTGTTGATGTGGCAGTGATTTTTCTTCCACCTCTTTGCGTACACGTTCTGGGAAGGTATGATACACTGATTGCTCCACGGTTGGAGGGGCCACACAATACAATAGTTTACCATTGACATAATCTTTGCAAACATAACGGGCTGATCTAGATTGATCTGGCTGGCCATTTGAGGTCATAAAACCACGATTGTCTGAAATAGAAAAAAAATAAAATTATTAGTTTAGTCAAGAATTTCTCCAAAGCAAAAAATACTCACAGCCATATGCCAATAAAAGTTCTTCAGAATGTGGACAACGATTGGGATCTTCACCCTCTATAGGTTTGGCAATAATTATACCATATTTATCCTCCAGCACATGACGTGGTATACGTGAACACAAAAGATTTACTGCCGGAACATGATCTCGCATTTGATCTATTGGCAATATACCATTTAATATCATATCAGCTTTGGTTAAAACAAAACTGGGCATAACCAAACCCGGGCAATCACACAACAACAAATCCTTATCCAAATACAATGTTTGAAAATGTTTTGTTTTGCCCGGAGTGGCTGAGACTGAAACCTTTTTCTCTGTCATCAGGGCATTGATTGTACTACTTTTACCCACATTTGGATAACCCACCAAACCAATGGTCGTGACGTTGGCAGTATATTTTGGACCATCGTAGACATTTTTGAATAGTTCAATTAGTTCTTCGCGGGTAAGTAATTTCGAACTATTCTTCATAAATGATTTTTCCGCCTTTTCTTCTTCAGGTGTGGGTAGTTTTTGTTCTATTTTCTCTAATTTGGCTTCCAATTTATCCAGGGTGTCATTAATTTCAGAGGCCGCTTTTTTAAGTTCCTTAAGTGATATATCGGCAGGTGTTTCTTCTTGCTCATCTTCCTCCCCTTCACTTTCCTTTTCTTCATTAGGAGTGGGATCATTTTCTTCACTATCTTTTTCCTGTGCCTTTCTTTCCTTGATCTCAGTTTTTGCTGGTTTTTCTTCTTTATTTTTGGCTTCTTCCTTCAGCTCCTCTGTGGCCAAGGCTGCCGAGAAGAACGCTGTCCTTATACCTTGTTGATCGAAATATTCTGCCCAATGTTTTCGCTGCTCCTCAGTAAGTAAATCTGATTTATTTACCAAAATCATATTCATCTTGTCGGGATTAACTTCCTTGACATACTTTTCCAAGTCTTCACTTCTAAACAGCAAAGGATTACGAGCATCGACAATTTGCACAATGACATCTGAACGTTCAACAACACGCCACAATTGACGCCAAAATTCCAAATTCTTTTCGTAGGGAGTTAGGATAATATCCTCATCTTCCTGAAGCAGAGCCAAATTGCGTCTCCAATCTAAGAAACTATCACGTTCGGCCTTTTGTAAATCCTCTGCCGACGTTTCTGGTGTCCATTTAGGTCTACGTGGAATTTTCAATAAATCTTTGTTGTCTTTGTGTTTTTTCTCAATATTCAATCTCTCGTTGCGGGACAGTAGGCCCACACCCTGTTTGGGATTTATGAATTGTATATTCAGTTTCTCAGCTTGAAATTCTGTTCCGGCCAATTCAGCTGTTCTCAAAAATTCTTGAAAGGATGATTCTTCAGTAACCGAACTGAGATTCAGACGTCCCCAGTCGTAGCCATCCTGTACTTCTGTTGTGTGTAACTATAAGAAATGATTGTGATGAAATATTTTCCATAAAAATCAGTTATTTTTTACATTACCATAGAATCATTGTCGACTTTTCGCCTGGGCGTATGGCCAAAACGATCCTTGATCAGGGTACGTCCTAAATTACTTCCTGCTTTACTTTTCTTACTCATTTTTCAGATAAATTTTGTAAATTATTTTCAATTGATTGTTGTGCATACACGACATACACGTGCAACTAAACAAAAATCATCGACTGTCAAAACAAAATCAGCTGTTGTTTTTCATAGTCAGGGCTCTACAAATCGATTCGCATTTAATCGATACTTTTTTAAAAATGTAATAGATTCAAATAATCAGGGGTGGATAATTAGTATTATATATGGTTTGTTCCCGTACTCAAAAAAGCGATACAGCTTTTTTAAATCTATAATGCCATGTTCTGACGGGCATCCGAACAACGTAGTTCGCTCTCAGAATTACGTACATGAATTAACCCGTTCATACAACACTATTCATAATTCATATCATCAGAGTTTTTTATTTCAAACTTTTTGTTTCTTGTTTTACACCAAATATGTAACATATTTTAGTGAATTACATAGGGATCTAAATAGAAAAAATAATTCTCTTTCTCCTGACTATAGTATGAACCCATATCTATTTACTTTTCATTCATGTTTTCCATTTTTTCTGAAAATGTTGTTGTTTTTAATACATTTTTATATTTTCTCAATTCAAATGTCACATACTGTCACAAATAAAATTTTGGAGAATTTTTTGTTTGAGTTGCCCCACATTTGTTTCTTGTTTTGTACGCTAATTAGAACCAAGGGAAAAGAAATGCATATTGCATTATGTAGAAAACAAAATTTACATCCTGCTGCATATATAAAAACTATACAATTTTTTACTTTTCATTCATGATTTTCAATTTTACTGAAAAAGTTTGAAAATTTCATAAATATTTTCAAACTGTCAAAATTAATTTATTTTCGATAAATACTCTCAATTGTTAGGGATGGGACAAATTTATTGGTTATTCAGAGAGTGATTCGAATTGAACAACGTACAAAAGTCGGTGTTCGCTCAGACAATTTTGTATGGGGAACTAAGTAATTCCTTCATAATTAAGGGTCGAACAACGAATGAGAGAGCGAACAACGCTCGTCTGGACATGGCATAAAGGAGGAATTGAAAACAGTGTCGATTAATAGAAAATTGTTTAATTTTTTTATTGGAATAGTTTAACCCGGTAAAAAGTTCTAATGTACCGTTTTAGTCTATTAGGAACACACATGATACAATAATATAAGGATTGATTGAAATAAATGGACATTTTAAGGGAACTTTCGATTTTCTGCACAATTTCGGACCAAACTCTGAAGGACCATTCGAAAATAGGAACGTTTACAGAAATTCTAAAACCGTAATATTATCTGAAATTTGAAAAATTGGATGTTTAATTTGAAAAAAAAAAAATCCATTTTATGTTTAGAATAAAGAAAAAAGGCATTTATTTGTAATAATCTAAAATCTGTTTCAGTACAAGCTTCTATCCTTTCTTCTCATTGGTTAATAGAAAGCTGCATTTTGACATCAGGGATGGGGGCTTCTATTTCTTCTCGTCATGATTAGTTCCTTGCGGAAAATGTAACACATTTGTTAATCTTTTGACATAGATTCCATATAAAAGTTCCTCCTGAATGTGGTTATATCGAAGGTGTTTGCGGCATTTCAAATTAAAATGCCTTTAAATAGGTATTTCGGGATTTCAGATTGTAAAAGGCTGTATTCCATTTCATTATAGTTTGACTTGATTTTCATTCAATTTATATCCCATACTACATTTTCAAATTGTCCCTTTGACTGCTTACCAACAACTAACCATAAGCCAAAAATCAACATACATTTCGTTTTTTCCAAAAAAACGTTCTTTTAGAGTATGTGCAGATTACTCGGAAAGTAATCGGAGAAACAGTAGACAATTGGTCTGTTCCCGTACTGCAAGAATCTATTACTTTTTACTACGATAACGAATTTTCCTTTATGATATCGAAGAAAATAGTAAAATCTAGTAGATTCTTGCAGTACAGGAACAGACCCAATATCAGCTGAAATGTGTTTTTTGTTTTTGTAAACAAAATACTTACACACAACTAAATTTCCCTTCAGATTATGTGCAGATTCCCTGCAAGCAAAATCTATCGCGGAAGTGGAAAAGAAGCGATAGAAACAGTTGCGGAAGATAGTCGCATTCTTATCGCGGAAGTCACCTCCTTCGGGAAGAAATTAACCACGTCCGCGTCACTTCCAGGAAGCAACGTCTGGGTAACTTCTTGGAAGACACTCGGAAGTGACTTCCTAGAAGTGACGCGGGAGTGGTTCATTTCTTCCCGAAGGAGGTGACTTCCGCGACAAGAAAGCGATTGTATTCCGCAACTGTTTCTATCGTCTATGCGTCACTTCTTTTTCACTTCGGCGTTACTTACTTCTCGCGAAAGCGATTTGCTTAGCCAGGCATTCTAAATAGTTATTCACAGTTTTTTTTTAATAATAACTTTAAAATATTCACAAATGTAAAAATTATGTTTTTAACTTTTTTTAATAATTTGTACACTATTATACTATTTTAAATATTGTTACGAATATAACTTTAGATTTAAGTTAATTTAGATGAATTCCGTTAATTTAAGAATTTGAATTGTAACGTAAATCTCTACTACGTTTACGTTTATTCGAATAACTTCACAACAACAACTACTGTATAGATTTTTCTACATCCTTCCATTTCCTCTTTCATTGTCTATTTTGTTGTTGACGTACAATTCTTGTTAAACGTCATCATTGATGATCGCTTAATTCCTCTTTCTTTCCCTGCAGTTAGTGTAGCTAACGAATAACTAACGAAATGATTAGTTACGTAGAATTACCATGCATTACTCGCCAAACTACCACCAATGCGTTTGACTAACGAATTTAACATGGGGATGACATTGCCGGTAGTCAATTTCTACCTTCTGCATTACCTTTCACTAAAGATTTCGCCAATAACATGTAGTGTGCTACTTATCTAGTCTATCTGTACCAGTTATTACACTAATGCTATTTCCCTAATAAAAAGACTTTTTTATTTATTTTTTTTGGAAATTTATTTAAAACAATAAAATAAATAAAACTTATTATTATTTTTTGGACCAAACTCAGATCTCCTTTGCTTGTTGCCTCAAAGTATTAGGTATCTTCATTGATGATAAGCTTTCATTCGAATCTCATATTGATTTTGTTCAGAGGAAAGTTGTAGGTGCTATTCGTAGGTTTTATTCCACAAACATATATCTTCCACCGTGGGTTAAAAAGAGGTTGGCTTATGTTATGTTGATGCCAAATATTAACTACGGTCTTGAAGTGTTTTCAGGTACTTTTGAACGAGTTTTTGTAAGATTAAAGCGCGTTGTTAACAGCATTGTACGCTTTGTTTTTTGCTTGAGGAGATGCGAACACGTGTCGAGCTATGTTTTGAGCTTCCTGGGGATGGATTTTGAAAGATTCGTCTCCACCAAAGTATTATGTACTTTTTATAAAACAATTAGAAATGGTGTACCAATTTTATTGAATAACATGTTCTGTTTTAATATGTCGTCGAGAAGTACGCAAATTTTCATACCCAGGATATACAACTCCACATTTGAAAAATCCTTTTTAATACGTGTAGCTAGATTGTGGAATCATTTACCGGTTGAACTTAGAATTTTCTCGCACTCGAATAATGCTTTTCGTTTAAAGCTGTTGAGCTATTATGAACCTGAGCATTAATAGAGTTATTTGTAGAATTTTCTGACACTTAAATATTTTTTGTTTGGATGGCTTGTTTGCTACGTATTTCATTTGCGTGTAATGGAATTTATTACCTTTCTTTTGTATACATTGTTTGCTCTTCTGGTCAATCTTTGCAAATTTTTCATTTGTGTGATAGTTAAGGCTGGGGAGCCAATTATATAAGTAAGCATTTTTTTGATATTTATGTATTATTATTAGTTATAAGGACATTATGTCATTGTTAATACTATTTTTGGCCTTGGAGGCTTATGTATTATTGAATGGAATAAATAAATAAATAAATAAATAAATAAAAAAGCCTTTTGGAGACGGATTTTTCTTTTTTTCACCCTTACTTGGATCCTTGGAACTTCTTAGCTGCTCTTCAGAGGGTCTTTTGTATTTCAGGTCTGGATTCTGAAAAGAGATAAAGTAAAAAAATACGAATCAAAAAAAATTATAATATTTTAAAATATTACCTATTAGTGTTATTTATATATTTTCCAGTCCTTTGAAAATATTTTGCCTGAAACCCATTAGTATTGTAGGCCATGACCAAATGGTTGCAGTATGGAGTTGAAAAATGCTACCTAAAACAATTCTATTAAATATTAAAATTATATTATAAATGGAATACTAAATACTTAAATAAACATGTTTCATTTGAGGGCTTTAGTGGTGTTAATCGCTAAAAAATGCGACGCACTTACCTCCACGAACTTTAAATTGAGACTATCGGCAACGAAAAAATAAAATACTCAAAATTAAGTAAAATTTTTTTTCCTTCTGCATTTTCTTCGGAATAACGGTGAAACCGGTTTTGCCCTGGAATACAATGTTGCTTTTGTAGAAATGATCCTTCTCATTAATGATTTCGCCAGTCAGAATGTGTATCGTAAAAGAGTCGATATGCGAACTCCTGCATAACTGATGGCGTCAGGAGTAACCAGTCCATTTTTCGTTAGCGTAATACATAACGATTTTGAAGCAATTTCTACTTTTAAAACTGCAGGGAGATTGTTCTGATGCTACCAGATTGTTCGTAATCTAGATGTTACCAGATCGTCTAGGAAATGGCAAGGCAGTTAGTCAGTTGTGAATCAGATCGCGAATTGAAACAGTCAAGTAACGTAAAGCTGTAAAGTAACGTTCAAAGTAAAGTTGTGTCAATAAAGTCATTGTAATAATCGTAATCGGAAAGAACCCGCGTTTTATTTAGTACGAACTGTATTGGGAAATAAAACAACGTCTACACGGGATTAAGTAAAATCCAAGAACGTAACAATATGTAAATAAAAGTATTTTATAAATGAAGACGCTTAATAAATATTATTATTTTTAAAATTAGTAATAAATTTTAATTCACTTTTTGTTTGTC